TACTGTTGAAGGAGTGGTACGGGGGAGAGAATTTTGGGAAAGATTTTCCACAACATTGAATTTTTTCTGGTTTCCCGTGTTTCACCATTGGAGGTTAGGATTAGTCCTCCAAGTCTTCCCCCTGTGTTTTCCCTTTTGGTAGAGGTCCTACTCCAGGAATTTCAGTTACCTGGCCAGAGTTTGCCATCATAAAAAAGGAATAGCTGAAATGTGAAAAAAGGTTCGACCCCTCGTAGGCAAGAATATTCTCTTACTCCAAATTGCAAAAAAAGTTGACTAGTTGTTTCTGGTACCCTGTGAACCCTTCGATGAGGAATTCATGCTTGAAACCCCAAAAGAATTGGAGTTGGCATAACCGGCGCTTTAAGGGAAGAAAGGCTGGGGAACCCGGACCCGAAACCACTGGCGACCCCATCTTCTTCAACATATTAAGGTTTTCTAAAACAAAGTTTAATTTTCTTCTGGTAGGCCCAGGCCCGGCAGGTTGTTACGTTGAGAACCTAAAGAAGTTGGGTGGATGGAGGAAACTGGCCCTTTTAGGGCTAAATGTTCCCTTAACCTTTTTTGGAACAAGGGCCAAGATTTAAAAAATTAAAATGTCTGATTCCCCCAATTCTTTTCAAGCCCGTGAAGCTTTACAAAAAAAAATTTAATTTCTTTATTATCAAGTTGTTAAAAATTTTTAATTAAAAATTTATATAAAGTATATTTAAATTATTTATTTATAATATAATAATTGAAAAATTTTTTACCCTATGGTAAAAAATAAAATAACCCTCAAACCCACAGGATCACGCAATCTACAAGAATCAAGACCCAGCAGTTTTAGGTGTTTTTCCTTTGTTTCCGGGGACATACGGTGGTGGGGGTTTGCCTCTGAGCAAAATTTTTTCATTCAAATCCCCGTTTTGTGTACTAGCATTCACGAGCAGTATTTTATATTATTATAACCACGAACGAGTAAAACTGAATCAATAACAACACTGACAGGCTATGACTGGAGTAGAAATTGTATGGTGATAAACTCCCAAATGTTTAGAACAAATCCATATTTGGACAAAAATTTTATTAATGTTCATGTTTAGCAAAGCCTTATCCAAAAGAACAATACCTGTGGTATTGTTCTTTACCTTCCGGTGATACGCTCTCCAGTGAAACTGATTAAGTAGAATAAGTTAAATGCCAAAATCCGTATTTGCATTTCTAATAAAAAAAATGCAATGGTTGAAAAAAAATATTTTAACCAAATTAAGGATATCATACAGTAAACCCAGTACTGTCCACTTTTATTGATAAGTATCCTCATTTCAGACAGATTATGGACTTGAAGGCCAGAAATTTAACATGCGATAGTATAATTTCTAATATGCCATGTATGTTTGTGAAGAGTGCGTGGAGAGGCCTGGTTTATCAGACAGTGATGAGAAACAACCTGAAAGTAAGCCAATTTCAGGGAGTGTATCTCTCGAAAATAGTTTCGTGTAAGACTTAAACCTTCTCCAAAGAAATGATCGTCGAAGTATGGTTATATAGTAGAGGTATGAACTGGGCCTAGAGCCGTGATCCATGTTTATATATGCCAAACACATTAACCATGGTTCGAGTCCTGTCCATTTCTTCGTTTATTGTCAGTCAAACTATGTGACTTATCTTGGGTTTATGATCATAAAAGTACACAAATCCCTCTATACATGAGGACTCAGCATCACAATTTTTTTTTCCTCTACACAATTTAATTTTACTGGTAAAAAGCTCTTAGGTTAAATCTTTTCATATGAAATGTTATCACTAAATAATTTTAGACTTTCCAGGATGCATCACAAATCTGGTGGATGGCCTTCCTGGCCACGCAAACACGAACGTTTTATTCTTTAGTAGTTATAAATAATTTTTTCTTTAAATGGATTCTATTTTTTCACGAATTAGTGGAAGTCTTCAGTTCAGGCATGTATCACTGCAACTCTTATTCCCAGGCATGTATCACTGCAACTCTTATTCCCAGGCATGTATCACTGCAACTCTTATTCCCAGGCATGTATCACTGCAACTCTTATTCCCAGGCATGTATCACTGCAACTCTTTCCCAGGCATGTATCACTGCAACTCTTTTTTCCCAGGCCATGTATCACTGCAACTCTTATTCCCAGGCATGTATCACTGCAACTCTTTTTTCCCAGGCATGTATCATGCCCAACTCTTTTTCCCAGGCATGTATCACTGCAACTCTTATTCCCAGCATGTATCACTGGGAAAATCTTATTCCCAGGCATGTATCACTGCAACTCTTATTCCCAGGCATGTATCACTGCAACTCTTATTCCCAGGCATGTATCACTGCAACTCTTATTCCCGCATGTATCACTGCAACTCTTATTCCCCGCATGATCACTGCACTCTTATTCCAGGCATGTATCACTGCAACTCTTATTCCCAGGCATGATCACTGCAAACTTTTATTCCCAGGCATGTATCACTGCAACTCTTATTCCAGGCATGTATCACTGCAACTTATTCCCAGGCATGTACACTGCAACTCTATTCCCAGGCATGATCACGCAACTCTTTTCCCAGGCATGTATCACTGCAACTCTCATTCCCAGGCATGTATCACTGCAACTCTCATTCCCAGGCATGTATCACTGCAACTCTTATTCCCAGGATGTATCACTGCAACTCTATTCCCAGCATGTATCACTGCAACTTTCATTCCCAGGCATGTATCACTGTAACTCTTATTCCCAGGCATGTATCACTGCAACTCTCATTCCCAGGCATGTATCACTGCAACTCTCATTCCCAGGCATGTATCACTGCAACCTTTTCCCCTTCATGTATTACTCAACTCTATTCCCAGGCATGTATCACTGCAACTCTTATTCCCAGGCATGTATCACTGCAACTCTTATTCCCAGGCATGTATCACTGCAACTCTTATTCCCAGGCATGTATCACTGCAACTCTTATTCCCCGCATGATCACTGCAACTTTTATTCCCAGGCATGTATCACTGCAACTCTTATTCCCAGGCATGTATCACTGCAACTCTTATTCCCAGACATGTATCACTGCAACTCTTATTCCCAGGCATGAAACACTGCAACTCTTATTCCCAGCATGACACTGCAACTCTTCATTTCCCCGGCATGTATCACTGCAACTCATTCCAGGCATGTATCACTGCAACTCTTATTCCCAGGCATGTATCACTGCAACTCTATTCCCAGGCATGATCACTGGCAACTCTTTCCCAGGCATGTTTTCACTGCAACTCCCCATTCCCAGGCATGTATCACTGCAACTCTCATTCCCAGGATGTTCAAATGCAACTCTTATTCCGCCTGTATCACTGCAACTCTCTTACCAGGCATGTATCACTGCAAACTTTATTCCCAGGCATGTATCACTGGAAACTCTTATTCCCAGGCATGTATCACTGCAACTCTATTCCCAGGCATGTATCCTGCAACTCTTATTTCCCAGGCATGTATCACTGCAACTCTTATTCCCACATGTATCACTCAAATCTTTATTCCCAGGCTGTAAACACTGCAACCTTATTCCCCGGCATGTATCACTGAACTCTATTCCCAGGCATGTATCACTGCAACTTATTATTCCCAGCGTATCACTGCAACTCTTATCCCCCGGATGTATCACTGCAACTCTTATTCCCCGGCATGTATCACTGCAACTCTATTCCCAACATGTATCACTGCAACTTTCATTCCCAGGCATGTATCACTGCAACTCTATTCCCAGGCCTGTATCACGCAAACTCTCATTCCCAGGATGTATCACTGCAACTTTTATTCCCCGGCATTATCACTGCAACTCTCTTCCCATCATGTATCACTGCAACTTCATTCCCAGGCATGTTCACTGCAAACTCTCTTCCCAGGCATGTATCCCCTGCAACTCTCATTCCAGGCATGTATCACTGCAAACTCTATTCCCAGGATGTATCACTGAATCTTATTCCCAGGTGTATCACTGCAAAATCTCATTCCAGGCATGTATCACTGCAACTTCATTCCCAGGCATGTATCACTGAACTCTTATTTCCCCGGCATGTATCACTGCAACTCTCATTCCCAGGCCTGTATCACTGCAACTCTCATCCCAGGGATGTATCACTGCAACTCTCTTCCCCCATGTATCACTCAACTCTCAAATTTCCCAGGCATGTAAAACACTGCAACTTCATTCCCAGCATGTATTTCCCGAAAATCTCATTCCCAGGCCTGTATCACTGCAACTCTCATTCCCAGGCTGTTCACTGCACTCTCATTCCCAGGCATGTATCACTGCAACTCTCATTCCCAGGCCTGTATCACTGCAACTCTCATTCCCAGGCATGTATCACTGCAACTCTCATTCCCAGGCATGTATCACTGCAACTCTCATTCCCAGGCATGTATCACTGCAACTCTCATTCCCAGGCCTGTATCACTGCAACTCTCATTCCCAGGCATCTATCGCTGCAACTCTCATTCCCCCGGGCCCGTTTACTGCAACTCTTATTCCCAGGCCTGTATCACTGCAATTCTCATTCCCAGGTATGTATCACCGTTCATCTTCCACGAATATATTACAGAAAGTGCAACCCCAGTTTTGTACGAGTACATACTATATACCAACCTGGCATGTTTTGTATCATCTTCCTCTCGGAAGCATGTATTACTGTACCTCTCCCTCCCTGGAATGTGAAAGTGCGAATTCACCCAGACTATCATTTACAGGCAAGTAATACTGTAGTTTATCCATCCAGGCGTATATTACTTTGACTATCACAGACCAGTATTAATGTGACTCCACCTCCCCGTCATGAATTACTGTGGTTCACTTTAATGTAAGAAACAGGGGTGACTCTCTATCTCAGTTATACATTAGTGTGACTCTTGAATTTCAGGCATGCATATTATAGTGTGACGTCTTTTCCGAGGTATACATAACTGTGACACTTCCTCCTAGACATGTATAACTGTGATTTTTCTTCTCAGGCATGTATTATGGAGTAACCATCTGCCTGGTGAGCTTTGCGTCGGGTATGTCGGTCGTAACGCTAAACATTCACCATCGTGGAGTAAGGGGTACAGAGGTGCCGCGACTGGTCAAGATGGTCGTTCTGGGCTGGCTCTTTCCCAAAATTTGGTCTTCCTTTCACTTCGAGCCAACCATCGTCCTTCCCGACGACAAAAATATTCACCTCAACGTGAGTGTCCTACACCTACTATATTGTAGCTTTTCCTTTTTTATCCCCTAAAAGTGTAAATTCTTGGATATTTAGGGTTTATGTGGATGAAATGACACATAAATTTAAATAATGGCTCTACATGGTAGAAATTTATAGTAGATCAAATACGACCGTTTTACTTTTCACAAATGGGTTTGCTTGTGGAATTAACCAGGTATATGACAGTTTATTCCTAACCCCCCAAAAAAAAACAACACACACAACACACACCACCACACACACACACCCCACACACACACACACCCCACACACACACACACACACACACACACACACAACAACACCCCACACAACACAACACACACACACACTTATCATAAGTGAAAAGTGAAATCGCGTGAGGAACGAGGGATGTATGAACCCCATGTGGTTTTAATCTCAAAGGATGAAGGGGTCTCCAAAATAGGGATTTAGGCTACGTACGACGACTACGTCATCAGCATCTGGCAACTTGGCACGACCGTTGCCAGTGCAAGTATCACCTATATTGTGGTTTGCATGTCGAAGGTTTGGCTTGGCTTGGCCTTGCATCGCTGTTAGTTACTGGTCACTCACTCCTGCAAGCTATTACAGTAGTTATTAGTAGTAAGAACACTTAGGAAGCTAGGAAGTCCTCTCTAAACGTGTACAAGGAATAGGATAATAACAGCAATAATTGATACTTAAATCCAGAAAGGACAATAAGCGAAGAGTGTAGCATTTCTAGGAAAGACAAAACAGAGAGGTATAACGTATCTACCCCCCCCTAACCATCCCTCCCTAACACACACACACAAGGGCAGACACTTATTGAAGCTTTAGACCCTAGTAGCAATTATCGCTTTTTATAACCCAGAATTACTGGTATGTATTAACAGTATCTCCCCACATACCTCCCCCATACACACATGCACACACACACATACACACACACATACACACACACACATACACACACACACACATACACACACATACATACACACACACATATACACACACACACATACACACATGCACACACACACACACACACACACACACACACACACAACATATACACACATACACATACACACACACACATACACACACACACACACACACACTCACAACACACACACACACACACACACACACACACACACACACACACACACACACACACACACACACACACACACACACTGTAAGTACGTGCCGGTCAAGCCCCAGAAGGTTGGGGGTCAGGTCACAAGAAGTTGTGGGCAGCAAAGGACCACTGAGACAACATTACAACGCACAAGCCACCTACCTTTCAGTACATAATAAACCCACACATAATTCCACACAAAATTACACACACAAACACACACACACACACACATATCCAGACTCACACATACACTCCCCCCCCCTCACCACCGACATCTCACTTCTTCCCCTGATCCCTCCCTCCCTCGTTCACCCTCCCCTACCCACCCCTCCCCCCACCCCCCCACCCCTCTCCCACATAGCCACAGATCCTCCACTACCTCCCCACACACTCTGACGTACACACTACTAACCTAACATACAGAACTAATAGGTTTCCCACTCTGAGGCAATCAGGATAAAACAAAAATGGGTTGTCAGAGAGCAACAAGAAAAACCAAGGGACAGGAGGAGGAAGCTGCAAAGGAAGATTGGGCAGCAGAGCTCATAAAATGAGATCATGAATGGGAAAAGAAACTAAAAGAACTTAGCATGAGAATGGAAGAGAGGATAGATATGGAAAACAGAAAGTGGGAGGTGCATGTCAAAGCAGCAGAGGCTAGGATACAGTGTTTAGAAGAGGAACTGAAAAATCTGAAACAGCCTAAAGAACTAAAGAACATTTTGGGATTGACAACAGAGACTGCTACCTCAGCCACAAATAAGGGGACTGTAGGGAAAGAAGGGGCACAACTGCATGGAAAAGCTCTATCAGAGGAGACTGTAGTAAATGAAAGAGCTAAGCTTTATGTGGAGGCCCTAACAGACAACAACAGAGCCCAAGGAAAGCCGAGAAGGGAAAATGACAGGCCACTGAGCCCAAGTACATTAGCCAGTGAAACTGAAGAAAGGAAAGCTGCAGTGCAGGAAACCAAATTAAATGAGGGGATACACAGGGATACGCAGTGGGAGAATGAAAGGTGAGGTCAGTCTTTGTGTATGGGCTCCAGGAAGTTGAAGGGGAAACATATGAAGCAAGAAAACAAGGGGAAAAAAAAGCAATTGAAAGCATCATGAAAGCAATAGGAGAAGACGACATGTCCCAGCTGGAAAATTTTCGGAGAATAGGGGGGTTTGTAAAAAAAAGAACCCGGCCAGTGAAAGTGACCTTCAAGGCAGAAGCGACTCGGACCAGGATCCTGCAGGAGAAAGCACGATTAAGGGACATGCCGGCATACAGGAAGGTGTATCTCGACCGCGACAGAACACAAGAAGAAAGGCAGAAACTGAGAGAGATGGTACAAAGGCGAAAGGAGGAAAGAGAGGGGATGGAGAAGACAGACAGGAGATCCCAGACCCAGGAAGAAGATCAAATACAGCCTCCCTCACAACTTCCTATAGAAGCCTCCCAACCAGGTCAACCCCAGTGCAACCAAACACTCTAAATCAAAACACCCATGCCACATCCAATGCCCCCACCCACTACATTACAAACTCCACCCCCACAGCAACAACCCATAGTTCCTTACCAGGTCTCCCACTTCCCCAACCCCAATATACCTCCCAGACCACAGTCTTAGAAAAGAAGTTGAAGGTGTGGTATACAAATGCAGATGGAATAACAAACAAGTATGAGGAGTGGCACGAAAGAATCAAAGAGACATCCCCAGACATAATAGCACTCACAGAAACAAAACTCACCAGAATAATAACAGATTCAATCTTTCCATCCGGATACCAAATCCTCAGGAAAGACAGAGGGAGGAGAGGGGGAGGAGGAGTTGCACTGCTAATTAAAAACCAGTGGGATTTTGAGAAAATGGAAGGAATGGATGGCTTGGGCGAAAGGGACTACTTAGTAGGAACAATCCAGTCTGAGGGACATAAGGTGATAATTGCAGTAATGTACAACCCACCACAGAACTGCAGGAGGCCAAGAGAAGAATACGATGAGAGCAACAGAGCAATGATCGACACACTAGCCGAGGTGGCCAGGAGAGCACACATGAGGGGAGCAAAGTTACTAATTATGGGTGATTTCAATCACAAGGAGATTGACTGGGAAAACCTGGAGCCCCATGGGGGTCCCGAAACATGGAGAGCCAAGATGATGGATGTGGTACTGGAAAACCTCATGCATCAACATGTTAGAGACACTACCAGAGAGAGTGGAGAGGATGAACCAGCAAGGCTGGACCTTGTATTCACCATGAGTAGTTAGGACATCGAGGGTATCATGTATGAAAGGCCCCTGGGAGCTAGTGATCATGTGGTTCTGTGCTTCGACTACATAGTTGAGCTCCACGTGGAGAGAGTAGCAGGAATAGGCTGGGAAAAACCAAACTACAAAAGGGGGAACTACTCAGGCATGAGGAACTTCCTTCAAGACATTCAGTGGGAGAGGGAACTGACAGGAAAACCAGTACAAGAAATGATGGACTATGTAGCAACAAAATGCAAGGAGGCAGAGGAGAGGTTTGTTCCCAAGGGAAACAGAAATAATGGGAAGAACAGAACGAGTCCTTGGTTCACTCAAAGGTGTAGGGAGGCAAAAACTAGGTGTACTAGAGAATGGAAAAGGTACAGAAGACAGAGAACTCAGGAAAATAAAGAAATCAGCCGAAGAGCCAGAAACGAATATGCACAGGTAAGAAGGGAGGCTCAGAGACAATATGAAAATGACATAGCATCAAAAGTAAAGACTGACCCGAAGCTGTTGTACAGCCACATCAGGAGGAAAACAACAGCCAAGGACCAGGTAATCAGACTGAGGAAGGGTGATGGGGAATTCACAAGAAACGACCAAGAGGTATGTCAGGAGCTCAACACAAGATTTAAAGAGGTATTTACAGTGGAAAGCAGTAGGACTCCAGGAAATCAGAACAGGGGGGCACACCAGCAAGTGCTAGATAAGGTACATATAACCAAGGAGGAGGTGAAGAAGCTGCTATGGGAACTTGACACCTCAAAGGCGGTGGGACCAGACAACATCTCTCCATGGGTCCTTAAAGAGGGAGCAGAGATATTGTGTGAGCCATTAACAAAGATCTTCAACACATCATTTGAAACTGGGCAACTCCCTGAGGTATGGAAAATGGCAAATGTAGTCCCAATTTTTAAAAAGGGAGACAGACATGAGGCACTAAACTACAGACCTGTATCACTAACGTGTATAGTATGCAAGGTCATGGAGAAGATCATCAGGAGGAGAGTGGTGGGGCACCTGGAAAGAAACAAGTGTATAATTGACAACCAGCACGGTTTCAGGGAAGGAAAATCCTGTGTCACAAACCTATTAGAGTTTTATGACAAGGTGACAGAAGTAAGACAAGAGAGAGAGGGGTGGATCGACTGCATATTTTTCGACTGCAAGAAGGCCTTCGACACAGTTCCTCACAAGAGGTTACTGCAAAAGCTAGAGGATCAGGCACACATAACAGGAAAGGCACTGCAATGGATCAGAGAATACCTGACAGGGAGGCAACAACGAGTCATGGTACGCGACGAGGTGTCAGAGTGGGCGCCTGTGACAAGCGGGGTTCCACAGGGGTCAGTCTTAGGACCTGTGCTGTTCTTGGTATATGTGAACGACATAACGGAAGGGATAGACTCAGAAGTGTCCTTGTTTGCAGATGATGCGAAGTTAATGAGAAGAATCAAATCGGATGAGGATCAGGCAGGACTACAAAAAGACCTGGACAGGCTACAAGCCTGGTCCTGCAACTGGCTCCTTGAATTTAACCCTGCCAAATGCAAAGTCATGAAGATTGGGGAAGGGCAAAGAAGACCGCAGACACAATATAGTT